TCTCACCTACATCGTCCACATGGGACGACTCGGGAACTCAACTCCTACCCCGGGCAGCTCACCTATCCCCTTATGCCCAGGGGAAGGGTATCAAGCCGTTTGACAGCTGATGCTAGCTGTCAAAACGGCTTTTACGCTGAAACAGGCGGGAGGCAGCAAACAGCTGCGTCCGACGAGGTCGCCTGCCACCGGAAGTCCTGGCTCCCTGCAGCTTAAAAGCCATTTTTATACTACCCTCTGAGATGACAAAGAGCAGGTCCTGAAGGGAAGAAGCCATTTAAAGTTTCTGTGCTGGTACCAGAATGTCTCGAGTCAAATCTTCTTGTATATCTAGATTTTTTTTAAAAAAATGACACCTCCAGGCAATCAGCAACTTCTTAATCCTTTCATTCTATTGTGGAACAGTTAAGCAAAAGATAGCCACAAACTTTCTTGCCCCCTTACTCACCCAAGGCAACGCCTTCTTTCCATGCGAGGTGTGGCCCCCCAGGGTGCTTCAGCAACATGAGTTCTGCTGCGTCCCAACAGCACATGTTCACGGGGAGAACAGCTCCTGTCTGCCAGTTCCCGGCTGCTTACTTCCAGACCACGTATATGCACACTAGGGCGACCAGGATCACTCAAGGCTCGTAATGCCAGGTTATTAGCTGGAGATGCAGGTGTTTTGGAAGTGTTGAGAGGCCCCTGGCTTCTTCCTGCCGTCTAGGGCATTGTTTCGGGCAGGAGAACAACAAGGGGAGGCCTTGGGGCTGGTAAGTGGCTGGAAGAGAGAAGTTAAACTGCAAGAGGAACCAAACTTGGATCCAAGCACCAAGCCATGCTTAGGTGAGGAAGAAGCACTGATGCTGCATGCGCGGGCTCGAGGAACAGAACTGTCTTCGAGTGTGACCTGTGACTTCCCTGAAGATCTGGGGTTTTGTAACAGTTTCTTCTCCAAGGATGTTCTTTCAGCTAGCCCTTCAGCTGGTCTCTCGTCCTCTCTTTTCTTTGCTACACTGTTGTCACCAGACTGAAGGCATGTTTTGCCTTCTTGCTTAACCTATGGAGAGAGATCAGAGGAAAAAGGAAAAGGCAACCTTGGTCAATCCCAGGCATTACATTCACCATTTCTTTAAGCCACTCTACTAATCCATTGAAATATTTAAGGTGTCCTCTCTTGAACCAGGTGCCTTCCAATTTTGTGGACTGCATTTTCCAGGATAGTTAGCAATGGCTAGAATTGGGAAAGGCTGATTTAAACCTTTTTCAGCTTTTGAGGAAGATAGGCAAATTCAATACATTCTCCTGTTGTGGCATTTCTGCACATCACTGGGAACCCCTATCCTCATTCACTAACTTCTACATAGTTTTTTTTCTCCCTCAGTCAGCTAACTCCCAACTCCTCAGAGCCACTTTACCTCCCACTCATCTCAAATCTAAAGAAAAGTAGGCTTTTGAAGTGACAGTCTCCATAGCCATTCATCTCATTCAACATTCCCTAGCAAGAAGGCTCTGGTTTTCAAGAAATCGTAAGTCTTGACTGCTCATGAGTGTATTACCAAGATTAGAAAATAGGGAAGAAAGGAAAGTTTTGAACCTAGAATTTGTCCATTCCATTTTGGGAGAACAGTTGCCTGGCTTCATTTTTTTTTAAGCTCCTGTAGTAGGTACAAACTTTAGGTCTAATTAGTTTCTTTGCTTAATGACATTCTTGCCAACTCTTCCTAGAGAAACAAATCTTAGAAATTAATTACCTGTATGTTTTTCTTCTCTTGCTGCAATACCTCAAGACACCGGTTGCTGAGTTGGACAAGTCCATGAAGGGCTTCATCCACCTCTTGATAGATTCTTGTGGCATCCACAGCTTGCGTACTACAAGTTGGAGAAAAAAATATTACTTTGGGGTAGCACAATATAAAAAGAGCATTTGCTCAAAAGCGATAAATTAATCCCAGAGAAGACCCACTTAGATATAATGAATTAATTTCCAAATGCTGATGAACTACAATTCCCAGCAGTTCCCACCAGAGTCTCCAATGGATCGTCCAATGGATCCTAGGAATTACAGTTCATAAATTACTACAGATAGTCCTTGATTTATGACAATTGAGCCCAAAATTTATGTTGCTAAGTGAAACATTTGTTAAATTTGATAAATAATAATAAAAAGTGAGTTTTGCCCCATTTATGATCTTTCTTGCCAGTTGGTAAGTGAATTATTACAGTTGTTAAGTTAGGAACATTGTTGTTAAGTGAATCTGGCTCCCCCCCCCTTGACTTTGTTTGTCAGAAAGTCACAGAAGCTGATCCCATTATCCTGGGACACTGTAACAGTCATAAATATGAACCAGTTGCCAAGCATCCGAATTTTGATCATGTGACCAAGGGGATGCTGCAACGGCCGTAAGTGTGAAAAATGACCTTAAGTCACTTTTTTTCAGTGCCATTGTACCTTTGAACAGTCACTAAATGAACTGCTATAAGTCGAGGACTACCTGTTCTGTCCCAGACTACATCCGTCCTTGTTGCGTCACAAGAACAAACCCCTCTTTAACAGTAGGCTGGAAAAACCAACCCCTTTTTATTTCAAAAACAGTCCTGATAAGTTTTCTCCAAAACAAAAACAACAGAATACTTTTCCAACAGATAATTGGTTAAAAAAGCAAACAGAGCAGGAGTTAAACAAGAAATTCATCGGTAAAACAAACAGACCATGATCCCTGGAAGTTCTTTACAAACGGTTGCCTTCAGCAACCAGCACCGCCCACACATTCCCCTTTTGTAATTCAGTCCTCAAGGCGTGGCTTCTCAGTGCCTTCTCCGGAGTCGTCCCATTGCCTCTTTCTGGTTTACTCTCCTAGCTTGTCTTCGTTTGCGGGCGTCTCTCATTTCCACCAGCTGTGCATCCTCCGAGTCCGACCCAGTTTCCCCACCCAGCTGCATCTCATCCTGAACACAAGCGGAAGGGCCAGGCTCCTCACTGGAATGTGAGTCTTGGAGCTCATCAGAGCCTTCCCCCGACTCCAATGGCTCCCCAGGCCCCTCCTCCTCCTCCTCAGATTCCCCGGACTCAGCTGTTGGGAACACAGGCTGGCACGGAATCACAACACTATCCCGCACCGCAGGGCCCTTCCGGATGCGGTCAGGATGGGAATTGTTCATGAAAGGCGGTTACCAAGGCAGGAGCATGAACGGTGGTCGCATCCTCCCAGTAAACTCCTCGGGTCCGTAGCCTTTCCATTCGATCAGGTACTGAAAGAGACCTTTCACCCAACGGGAGTCCCGAATGCTGGTGACCTCATACTCGGGAGCACTGTCTCCATCACGTTTATTTATTTATTTATTTATTTATTTATTTTGATTTATATCCCGCCCTTCTCCCAACGGGACTCAGGGCGGCTCACAACATATTTAAAAACATAGACATATTTACAACCCCCACCAGATAAAACCAAATTAAACCAATATTTAAAGTTGTGCAGTTAAAATTATTCTTAAAAAACCCGATTTAAAAAACCCGATTTAA